AAATATAATTCCCTCTCTGAAATCACTTTCAATGGAAAAAAAAGGAACATTCAGTTAGAATCCAATATTACAGAGTCAAATACGATTCGAAGGTAATCCACTTTGCAGGAGGATGCCTTCTCAGCCTCTGCTATAAGGAATTGACTCGAGATCTCTTTCCTGGCCTTGGATCGTCATTCCCAGCAAAATCCATTGGCAGCCGATGGTACCCACCAAAGTCACAATTTTCAGTTGGTTGGCTTTTCGGAGAAAAATCCTAACAACCGTTCAATTTCGATTACGAGGGTGGATTCTCCCCAATCATTGTTGTCTTTGATTTGCTTCAGAAGAGACAGCATACCACTTACTTCTCCCCTGCAGCTACTCTTCCAGGGTACGGAACTTCTCTCTTTCGACTCAATCTTGCTGTCCCTCTACCTCATAGTTGCAGCGAGCTACTAGTTCAATGGTCAAACGTCACCAAAGGTTGCAGATTGTCAAATGCTTTCCACCCACTTCCACATGCTATGTTCTGGTTATTATGGACTGAGTGGAATGCTTGACTCTTTCGTGAGTCGTGATCACTACACAAGCAGCGCCACTCTATCCAACAGAATCAACTACATCATTTGCTCATGGTTGGATAGTAGCAACAAACTATCTCAACAAGAACTTCAATCCCTACATTTGATGTTGTATGGCACAAGCCAAAATCCATTTGAGCCACCATGACAACTTGTTTCTAGTGTTTGCATATGTACCTTCAACCACCTCTATTGTACTTTATCATTGGAGCAAGTCCATTACTTATGGATGAACTCCCTTTTGATGAATTAAACTAAGCAACAATTCATTAAAAAAAACGATTCGAAGGTAACAGAACACTGATAACTAGCAAACTATAGTCAGAAGCAGAAATTTAATTCAAAAAATGAAAGAAATGGAGTTAAAGCGTTCAATAGTGAAGATAGCAACGAATGGACTAACCTTGCAATGGCCAGCCACTAGGTCTTTCTTCTTCCACTTATTAGCACACGATTACAGCCTGCTCGTCCTCAGTTTTAAGCTCCGGGTGAGGCATTTCTTCCGCCGCGGGCAAAAAATAAGGATGAATCGAGGACAAAGTTGGAATCTCCGACTCCGCTCTTCGGCCGCCCTCGCACGCCGCCGCGACTCCCGTCTCAGTTGTGCCTCCTCCGCTGAATTGTTTCTCTACGTCTCCTTCTCCCTTCAAGCGCCTCGTTCACTCGAGATTTCGAGCTTGGATTTGCCGGCGACGAGCTCGTCCGATACCTCTCTCTGATAATTTGTACCGGAAATTTCTCCTGTTCTCAGCATAGATTTCAGCGGTATATCTTCCAACCGACTGTTTCAGAAGCTCTTTGAAAGCTATTTTGGTTTTTCTTACCCTAATTCGGGATTTTGATTAACCGACCATAGAGATGGAAACGACCTCGTATCTTATGTTTTTTTTCCCCTTCAATTAAGGGCATTGCTATTCGTCGCCCTAAAATTCCTTATTCGTCGCCCTAATTAAATTACATTTACTTCAATGTCCTTAGTTTATTTATTTGTCTTTCAAACACTTAAACCCCAAATTAAACTCAAATACTACACCAAATAACAAAATTCAAAATACAATCAAAGAAACAACAAAGAAGAAGAAACCAATCATTCAACGAAAAAGAACCAAACAATCTGTCATACCTGGTTCTTGAAATTCCCAATTTCCAACGAGTGATTAGTCAGGAATGGTAATTATAACATGAAAACGATTAACCTAATTAATCCCTACCTACAGCCAATCAAGAGAGGGATTTATTCCCCTCCACCTTCTTGCAACTTGGCAAAGAGATAGCTAAACCCAAAGCTAATCAACCCTCTAATCGAAACGAGAAGCCACCACCACTTCCCTGCTCTCATCACCAATACGTATTTCCCTAGAGGATCTCCGCAGCAGCCAAGAGTAGCGGCGAACTGAGGTAGCAACACATATCGAGAGTTTGGTGACATAGTATCGACGGCGGCGGATTTGAATTGGGGTGAGGAAGGGACTAGGGATTGTTTGGTTAGGGTCTAGATCTCAAATTGGGTATAAGGGTAAATGTGCCAATTTGTTGCGTTTTAGGGCGATAAAATTTGAATTTTAGGGCGACGAATAGCGATTCAGTCAATTAAAGGCAAAATACACTTCTATAGCCAAAACTTTTGTGCTTATGACAATAATAGCAAATTTTGAAGAAATACCACTTATAGCCACTTCCGTCAAATATTTTGACGGTGTCATATAACGAGCTGACTGGACAAACAGAAATGCTGATTTGACAATATTGCATCAAGGACACTGCCAAGTAGATTAATAAAAAAATAAAATAAAAAATAAAGAAAAACAAATTTAATAAACCCAACCCCTTCCTTCCGTAACAACACACAAACTCTTTTTATTTTCACTCTCTTCTTTCCCCGTCACTTAGGGATGGGCAACGGTGTGGACGGGATACCCGTCCCGTTTGAAACGGGTACCCACTCCCGTTTGGAGAGCAAAGTTCATTCCATATCTCAAACCCATATGATTAACGGGTACTCGTTACCCGTACGGGACGGATAACGGGTACCCAAACTACCCGTACATACCCGTTTAATTGAGAAGGGAAAAGTTCTATATATAGAGCGAATATACAACAACCAAATTGTAAACTGAAACATTTCAGCCTCCAGACATAGTAATCTGATCGTATGAAGTTAAACTTATTGATGAATTCAAACGAAAAGAGAACATAATAACTTGCCTGATTGTGTGAGCATCCGAAAGTCTTAATATATATCGTCTGAATCAGAGGAACAAGCTCACAATTACTATGAGGTTGAGGTTCAGAATTTATGGGTGGGAAATGCTACTAGTAGGAAGCCCGTGACACTTATGGTGGGTTGGTCTTTGTCCGAGCTTGCCACTAAACGACCCACAAACGCTAGATACTCCAACACCTTGTTCCTTTCATTCCACATAAGAAACCCCAAACCTTTAAGTGCTCTTAATTTTTATTTTGTGATGTGATTGGTTAAAATCTTCTTGTGTTGATGTGTTGTTGATTTTGTTGCCACGATATATGAAGCTATCAATGATATTGTCCTTCTTGTTGTATGTATATCTATTGTAGGATTTTTACTAACGAGTATTACGGGTACCCGGATTACCCAAACGGGTATTAATCGGTAACCCGTGGGTACCCGTTGTAGAAATCGTTGATCCCAAGTCCCATTCCGTTAACAATAAAACGGATATTTGAGTACCCGTAACCCTCAAATAACGGGACGGGTATGGGTATACCCAAATACCCGTTTCTCATTGCCCACCCATATCGTCACTCTCCCCTAGCGGCAACTCTTGCTCCACCGCTACTCCAAATTCCTATTCTTGCTCTTCCTCGGCGTCACAACAATCTCTCCCCCAGCGGCTTCTTGTTCGACCGCTACTCCAAAACGTATTAATGCTTTCCCATAATCTTCAGCAACATCCCCGCCGTCTTTCGCGAAGACCCTTCCCCTTCCCTCTCCAATCTATAAAATCGCCACCCATAATCTCCCGCAGAACCAGCCGCCGTTAATCCACAATGATCCCCATCAGATCTCTAGCGTCGCCGTGAAGCTTGATGAGCTCTTTTCAATTTCGTTGGTGGGATGCTCTCCAACTCAACTGTGACGAGATGCGGCCGGCGAGCAAAGGACCAGATCTAGAAGAAAAAGCAGTCACGATGGTCACCTGAATCTAGGTTTTCTTCCCTCGTCGTCGCATTTCCCCTTCGAAATCTAACCGCTGTTTGACCACCATCCCTCCTCGTCGCAGGTGAATAACCGTAAGCTCGCTGAGACAATGTCGAATTGGGATGGGATTTGGGTTCATCATTCCTCTGGGGGCTTCATAGCCCTTAAGCTCAACAAATATGAAGAAGAAATTACAGTTACATGTTGGCAATGGGCGGAGGTGTTTAGGGATTTAGAGGCGGCAAGTTGGGGGAGGGGAAGGGTCTCGGAGAGGAAGGTGAAAAAGAGATGATATTTTAAATTTTACTATTTTAGTTTTTATAATTTTTGAAAGCTTAATACAAGTAAAAGATTACCGAAAAACTCATTAATTATTTTTTTTATTTTCATTAGTTAATTTAATTTTAGTTTATAGATGATTTTTTTGTTAATAAATTAATTGAATATTTTTAAATAAAATCTGACGTGTCACGTATATGTGGCAAGTGTTGGTGAGTTGTCAATGATGTGTCAGGTGAGTTGGCAGCCAAATCATCATTCTATTAGTTTGTCTAACGGTGTCACTGACGTCGTCCATCTATGTAACAGAAATGGCTATTGTTGTCATCAAACTTTCAAATTTCTGGTTATAATTGTTATTTTCTTAAAAAAATTATTATTGTCACAACCGTCAAAGTTTTGCCTATGAATTTTCCTTTAATTGAACGGACCAGGCCAACTTCTGACAAAGCAGTTTGGGCCTACTACGGCCTTCCAAGCTTCCTTCCTTGCTTTCGTTCTCTCCCTATTTGGCGCTGGTTTTTCTTTGGACTTCCTTTGGACTCCCCTTCCGGCCGCCATCGCACGCCGCCGCAACTCTCTAGGAATCAAGGATCAGGAAATCGGATCGTACCGGCCAGTTCAACCGGAAAAACCGAGAACCGGACCAATAGCGATACGGTAGGCTGGTTAGTAGTAGAATATCGGACCGGCCGGTTTTACCGGTACAAAACGAAAAACCGCCCGGCTTTGGTCTGACCGGCGGTAGGCTTAAAGGAGGGGGAAACAGCGACGTTTTGTACTTAAATTAAAAAAAAAAAAAAAACAAATCGGCCAAAGGCCAGAGATGCAAAACCTAATTTGGCTCTTGGGAACCCTTTCGGTTCGACGGTCTTTCTTCCTCTCGTCGCATTTTTCTTCCCCAGCGTAGCCCCGCCGGCCGCTTCTCCTCTTCTTCTCTGGTCGTCCCGTATGGCGACTGCGTTTGGCGATCCGCGACCGGCGATCCGCGAACCCCGACGTTGAAAGCAAGGAGGCCCCCCGTGTCCGCCACTCCGCCGCTCGTTTATTTTTCTTCTCTGGCTACTAGCGCTCGCTGCGCCGATCCCTGCGTTGCGCCGCTCCTATTGCCTGAGATCCTTCCTCGTTTGAGGTGAGGTCTGGGTTTGGTCAAGGACGCTGCTGCTCGCCAAGTTCTCTCCTCAGTCGCGCCGCTGCTCGACCTGCTTAAGAACGCGCGGGCTTGCTCGAGTCTCCCTCTTCTGCTGGTTGCTGCTCAAGAAGACAAAGAACGCGTCGACCTTCTCAATAACGCGAGTTCAAACTCAAGGTAAGGAACTGGTCGAGTCTCCCTCCCTTGTTTCATGCTTTTGACTGATTTTATTACACAATTCAGTTTTTTTCTTCAATATTTGGTGGATGCGGGAAACGCAGTCGCTGCGAGCTTTAATGGGGAATTGGTTTCTACCATCATTGATTTCGTAAATGGAATGGTATATGCGGGAAACGCTCCATTGGGTCTCTGTTTATAGAGACCTCGATTTCACTCTATTCTTGACGGTGTAATTAGTCAATTGTTCAAAAGTTAATCTAACACAACATGTTTTGATCTTGATTAGAAGTATAATATCTTGTTATTTCCGAGTTGACAAGCAATCTAAAAGTGACGTTTGTGATATATGTAAATGTAAGCTCGTAAGTGGTCAATTATGCAATGGAGTTCATAACCTATTAGTTTATTTAGGTTTGTAATCCGGTATATTCCGGTTTTATTATGGTATTACTCCGAGACGGTATCCTGAATCTGCCGATACGGTTTTTTAACAAAAACAATTATTTAATTACAAAAACGATATTTTACCGGTACATAACGGTTGAACCACGGTTGTACCACAAAATATCCTACCACAGACGGATCCGGTATGATGTCCGGTACGGTTTCCTTTACCATGCTAAGAACTCGCCCTTCCATCCCCGCCAATGCTTCTTCTTCTTCAAACCCGTGTCGCCTTTCAGTTTCGCAACCTAACTCCATCTCAAGCTCTCTACTAAGAAACTATTTGGCTGACGCGGGAAGAACACGAGCGGAACGAAACCAAAAGAAGGCGAAATGATGCTGAGATGTAGAAGCTTGAGACAACTTTCAAGGTTTTCCTGGCGCATTTCTTCTGGTAGCCCATTTTTCCTTGGTTGAATTCCTTTGTTGTTTCGATAGCTATCCCTACTGGTCAAATTGGTGAACTTCAATTACGTAACTTTTGTTGCTAGGAATATACTTAGGGCAGAGCGGAGAAGCCAGAAGAGGTTACTCTGTCTCAACTTCAGTCGCCCCATTTCGTTCATTTCTTAGAACCACCAACTACCCAGGAATATTTTGGTGGAACTTCTCTTATTCTCAGAGGTAATTGCTCAGCGGAATGGGACGTTCTGTAAGCTCTTTTGTTTGAGACCACTGTGTTTTCTTTACGTACTTTGCCTGACTTATGAATGGCAGTGATCTCCAGGTACTCGACAGCATCAGAAGAAGCATCTACTAGTATTCCTGCACCTGCAGCAGATGATGACGTGGTCTCCTTTGTTCGATCCATTGCCGATGAGCATGAAGGTTGTTGCCCAAGTTTAGACTGCTTATATGCAAGTTTTAGTCTTACGCATGGATTCAGGTCCACTTGGCTAGTTGATAGATGATGTCATTGATATGGTTTCAAAATGGATTTTGCAGGCCCAAATCATGTTTGGTTAAATGTATATGAAGGAGATAAACCCTTCTTGAAGAGAAATGGGACATTTTTAATCCTCGCTGGACAGTTCTTCCAGGATTCTGAAATAATTGCCATGCTTGAAAAAGTGAAGTTGCTTCAGCAGAGGTAGAGATCGAGTTTCCAATTTCCACTTGTGTTTCTTTCAGTATTGATTTAAACAGTTGCATTGTTAGGTTTGTTCAATTTGAGGATCTTCTCCCTTCTATGTTCCAGATTCTCCGAACTTTGTGTTTTGGGCCTTCATACCGGGAGTTCTGCTAGCTTCGCTGCTGATCGAGATCATGTTATTGACTTGATAATGAAAGAATACATCACCTTCCCCATTCTGTTGTCAAACAAGAACTTCGCAGAGGTAAGGTAATAAAGTTCATCATAGAACAGCTGTGAACTGTAGTGTTACTATAGCTTGAGCTTCTCAGAACCACCCTAGGATTCACTGTCAGTAAAGCTAAGAATGGTTGTTTTGCCTTTGACTGTCATGTCTAAATATGGGATTGGGCAAGTCTCAGTGCTGATAAAAATGGTGTGGTTTGAAAGGAACTCCACTAATGCATTTGGAAGAAATACTTGGTGCTTTAGTGGAGTGAAAGGAAATGTCTACTGATTGATAATGCCATTAGGGCGATTTTTGGTAATCTCTAAATAGTATTAAAAGAATGTTCTGTTTTATTTAGATGGAGAACGGAGCCTGCTACATTATGTTCAGAGACTCCGAGAATCCTCTAGTTCAGCATGAGAAGGATCTGGATATTGGAACACTTTATGCAGGTATTGCGGTGTCTTTGTCTTGGTTAGTTGAAGTTTGATTTCTTTGTCATTCTCACATTATGTGCATTTAGATAAAGCTTGCCTTCTAGCATGACCTATTTGTCATTACTATTCCCCTCTTAGAAGTATCATTCTTTGAAATGGGTACAGTTTGTTGCATATGGTTAGGGGGCAACTGAAGAGCTACATCAAATTGATAGAAACTCCTACAAATACTCATATGATTACTTTTATATTCGTTTTGTCTTTTCGAACCTTCTCCAGTGGTAGAGGAGATGCAAGTACTACAAAAACAGAATCCTGGTGATGGAAACTCCAGTATGGCTTGTTTGAAAAGCACTTGGACAAAACTAGCTGATGCTGTGAAGGAACCATACACTGTTTCACCTATTCAAAACTTGCTTCTCTATTTCCCAGGTAAAGTATCCCTGGGATCTATGTGGTTTGCCTAAGATTTTTGGTCCTACTGCATGTTCTCAGCCTGTAGTCTTGGCAGACTGCATAGTTGGTGAACTTTATGTTCAACAAGATGCGTATAAATTCTAGTAGATAACTTTGTTAATATAAATTTTTAAGAGAAGTTGTTCATGTTTTCTCAACAAGTTTCCCTCCCGGTTTTCTGCAGGCTGTATATCTGCAGATATAAATGGCAGTCGGCTATTCTTTTCTGACTCCAATCATCACCGTATCATCATTTCTGATGGTAATGGAAGTATTCTTGACTGTGTAAGTAATGAATTTGATAACTTCAATATATTTGGTTTATGTGTCATGTGATGTCTTCCACCGTATCCTCAACACTTCTCTTTGCAGCTAAAAGTGTTGAATAATTGATACTCTAAAATCACCTTCATACTAGTTTATATTTTGTGGTGCCTATTTACTTTCTCAATTCTGTTGTGTTTTGCTTTTAACACCTGAGAAAAGTGATAATACTTTTTAACTTACGAGTTTTATGTGTCAGATTGGTTCTTCTCCAGGTTTTGAGGATGGAGACTTTGAGTGTGCCAAGCTATTGCGCCCTGGAGCTTCCTTTTATGATGACACTGAGGATTGTCTGTATTTCGTAGACTCAGAGGTATGCGTGAGGTCTCTTTTGGAATTGGAATTCGTCAGAATATCAATTTTGTAAGTTTCAATGTGTTAATATATATCTACTTATATCATTTATCGTTGTTTGTGTATTTCATTTGCGAAGAACCATGCAGTCAGGAGAGCTGACTTGGAGAGACGGGTTCTAGAGACGTTATATCCTTCTTCTAGTGCTACTGTAGAAAAGGAAAGTCTATGGACAAAGATCGCAAGTAAACTGGGCTTTGGAATCGCTGCTGTTGAAGCTAAATCCGAAGAGTTTGATCCCCAGTCTTTAGTGTTTCCTTGGCATCTATTGAAGTCAGAAGAGGAGGATCACTGCTTAATCATTAACCGGAGGTAGATATCTTCATATATGTACCAACTACCAAGTCTTCTTAAGTTTGGTGCCAACGTTTCTACTTTATGATCTTAATTTCAGATGCTTGCTTTAATTATGTCTCAGAAGAACATAAAAAAGGTTTTGTTTTTGTTTCTAATGAGCAGCTTTGAGACACTATGGGTAATGAATCTGACCACTGGAGAGATAAAAGATGTTATCAAAGGTTTGAAAACCTTACCCTAGCTTAGTTGTCCTGTATTTAGTATGTTTGTCTAACATTAACTTCTTTTGTGTCTGAAGGATTCCAAAAGATTCGAGATACCTGTGGAAATTTGATCACAGATAAATTATCTCTCTTGAAGGAAATGCCAAGTGATTGGTTGGAACAGCAGGCTGGTACTTACTTGTCAAGTAAAGATACCTTGTATGCTACCCTCATATCATCACTTACAGCTTTCAACGGCCACGTGTTTGCTTGTGATACAAGTAAGCAGCTATTCGTACGTTACTCCTATCTTGTTTTATGCCGTTGTGGTCTTTCAAAATTTCTTCCCCTACTTTGATTGAAGCTGCACAGAAGGTGGTGAAAATGAATAGAGAAACTAGAGCCTGCTCCATGTTTCAGTTGGTGAATTACAGGATCCTTGGACTACCCTACTGGTGCTCCTTCCCACTGGAGAGGATATATTCCCTGTAAGTATGGAGACACTGAATGCTCTTATTACACTAGAGCATTTATTTAAATATCATTAATGAAGAAAAAAACTGCTCACTCTTTACCTGCTGACGATGCTTATTTTCTGGCTGAGTTGCAGTTCTCCAACTCATGAGTTGTGGACTGATCATCTTCAACACTTCAACCAATTGCCAGGTTTATGTACTTACCATTGATTAATATATATTTCTTTGTTCTGAAATGATATCATACAATATATCTAATTAAGTGGATGTTGTGCTTGCATGTTTTTTTCTCTGTGTACCAGGCAGGACAGACATAGATATAAAGGTCGACATTCCAATAGATACTGAACTGGTCGAACCATTGCATGAGGGATGTATCTGGCGTCAGGCAAGAGGAGCTGCTACTGAAGTCTCAGGAACAAATGCTGAACTGGAATCTTCGGAAAAGGTTGATTGTCCTTATCTGTTGTCTTCTTTCCTCATCTCATCATTCGTTGTTCCTTTTATACTGGGTCTCTTAGAAGTTCCTGCTTTTATGGCGCATACAGGTTGGTGTTGCCCAGAAGTGGTATGATGAACTCGATAATCTGGCATTTTCATCGGCTGCTGAATCAGAGACAATTGTGGAAGATGATGATAGCACAACTGCAGACACTAGGAATTTTGAGGACGACAAAGTTCGGATTCATTGTGCAGTTAATACGAGCCCTGGCTTGAGTGAGGTAACTACCTTATTGTTTCTACATCCAAATACCAACCGAACCCACTAAAAATCCGTCTGAACCAAATGGCAAAATCCTTTAGGTTGATGAGTTTCTACGACACTATCATTAGTACCTAAATATTCCTTGTCCTACTGTGATATGAACACTACACCAGGATGCCTAACTTGTCTGCCTGAAGCTTAATGGTCACACTTTTGATTTCCAGGTGATCATATATGCACCACTGTATCTGAGACTCAGAAGAGATGCGAATGTAGACGAAGAAGATAACCAGGATAAACATGCAGCGAGGATAGCTGATATCCTAAAATGGGGTAGTCACGGCTTAACCACAAGAGATTCATGCATTCAGCTCTTGTCTAGATCAGGAAAGGATTTGAGAGACCTCGTCTTTGTGAAACCACTGCATTTCAGAATAAGAATAGAATGCCCTAATCACCCTAAGGCACCCGATAACACGAAAGATATCATATTGACCAATTCCACTGTTGGTGTCCATGTCTCACTTTGAGCAAGTAAAAGAACCATGAGGGCCAATTGATTCATAACTCTCAGTTTTGCTGATGTTGGTATAGTTGAGAATCTGGATCTCCAGTTCTCTGGATAGCTTATTCAAGGATCCATTGTCTTATTGATTGATCTTTTGAAGCTTCAAAGGAAGCTCTCAGTTTTGGTGATATTCGTATTGTCAATCAATTACCCGTTCTTCTGAACTAGACCGTTCCAATAAATATCTAGTGCTTAGGTTAACCGGTTGAACCGTCATCACTCATCACCAATGCACCTTTTCCAGAGCCTTTTTTTCTGGTGTTTTCCCCAAGGTTCAAGGCTTTGCCTTGCGCCAATTTGCAACCTAACCGAGGCCTTCTCTGACTACATTACCAGATGGAGGAAAAGGGCATTCCAAAGGACAACCAGTATGTCTAGGCGTTGTGTAGCGTGTCTAAGCATTAGCGGTTGTTTGCTTCGTAAATTTGAAAAATGAAGGTTTTGGTAAAATTTGCGTTTTGTAAAATTATGCATATATAAGGGTATTGGGTCCATTATGGGCTTGAAAAATACAATTGTTTGTTTCATAGATTACATGATGGAATTGATTAATTAGATTTGTATATATGAAGTGAAATTTACCTTTATTGCCCACATTCCTACGAGAAGAGAAATCAAATATGAGGAGTAGTTTGGTCTTAAATGATCGCTCAGTTTGGCCCTGTTGTAGGTTTTGTAGAAGCAGCTTCTGGCTTGAGCTTTTAGAGAAGTACTTTTCAAAAAAAGCAGTTGTGTGTTTGGTTGAAAATTTATTAAAAGTGTTTTTTAATATGAGAGGTTGTGTAAAATGACTATAAAGGACTTATAATATAAACTATGAATAATAATTCTAAACAATAAAATAGTCAAAATAGATCTTGTTATACTTCTTTTATATTAAATAATATGAATTTATACTTTATTTTATTGTATAAAAAGATATAAATGAAATAAATTTAAATATGGTAAGGATAATCTTGTATTTTCTAAACAGCTTTTCGCAGAAGCTCCAAATCGGAGCTTCTGCTTTTATGTTATACAAAAGCGCTTTTCGGCTTTTCAAAAGCCAAACTTTTAAAGGTGTTTGGCCCTGCTTCATCTTTTGAAACCGAAAAACACTTCTAAAAGACGTGCCAAACATAGGCGATGGACTTCAAAGTCCATAATCAACTCCCTCATAAAGTGGTGGGACTTTCAAGTCCGTGGGGTCCACTGATTTGCACCCTTAAAATTCATGGGACCCACAGTTTTTTTGCTCCAAAATACACGAAGCAAACAATGGATTTTGGACAAAGTTCATGATGGATCCAAATCTATTACCAAGTCCATCACCAAGTCCATCGAGCAAACAACTCCTAGATGTAAATGTAACATAATATCACATACCTGTCTAGAATCACAAGTTTATGAACCAAATACTATCGCATCTACCATTCATTTCTAAACTTGCATCAACACTCATGGTAAAATATAAAACGTAGTGTGGAGAAATGAGTAAGGAAAAAAGAAGCTTGAATATAGCGAAACATATTGAGACGAAGAAGCGCAAAAAAGAAAGAGGAAGCTACTGTAAATATTGTCGTCTCTAAATATATCATAGCATATCAAAAGATAGAGAAAAAAAACATCATGACATCATTTTGAGACACGACTCAAAGCTGGCCAGAGGCTACCGAAGCCACAATGTAATTGTGACGCCTTCTCCGCTGCTTTTTTGTCGATGCGAGGTGTTTTCCTTCCGACTTGTTCCTAGGCGAGTTTAGACGAGTACCTAAGCACGCTTTTTAGAACCATGATTTTCTTGTATTTGTGAAAAAATCTCCTATTGGACATAAATTGATAAGCAAATTAAGCGATAGGAAACGACTGAATCCTAATTAAGCTATAGTTCAAGGTTGTTAAACCCCTATCGAACCCTCGGTTCGACCGATTGGACCCGAGTCGAGCTTCAAAACGGCTTCCAGAAAACCTTTCGGTTTGACTCCTAAAGAGGGAGAAGAAGAGAGGAAGAGGAACGAAGGAAGGAGATGGTGGGTGAGTCATGAAGGTTAGGTAGACTTATTTTGTGGAAATTTTATTTCATTCATGAAATCTTTAATTACTACCTTATTTGTATATATATTTAGAAAACATCTAAACCGACTAAAACCGACCGGACCCCAATCAGATCAATACATCTCAAATTCCTTACTTGACCGACTCAGTTACTTAAACCGATTTAACAACCTTACTATAGTTCAATACAAACAGTTTTATACTTAAAACTTTTCCAATACCGCCTCGGTACAATTTCCCAATCATGTTTTCTATTTCTTTTAACCGGTCTTAAGCTAAGCCAATAAAAGACTAAACTTTCGACTCTTTTCTCACTCTCCCACCACCACCCCTTACTTGACCAACACCCCTAAAATTTGGGGAAAAAATTATCGAACCCCCGGTAGTAGAATTTGTATGGCAAAAAAAAAAAAAATACACATGTAATTGGTGGGATTCGAACTCAGGACACTGCAATTGTTAGTGTTAATGTTGTCCGCCGGGCTACATCCGACTTCTTGTCATTATTTCGAAACATATTTATTAATCAAAACTTAAATTGGCCAGACAGTTAAAAATTAATTAACTATATCGGGACACCCCTACATCAGCCGAGACCAAAGAAATCCCTTTTGATTTCCGACTTTTCACCGCCCTCGCACAGCCGCACTCCCGAAACCAGCTCCCAGAGGCCAGCGCCACTCGAGCATCTGCTCGGCTGCTCCTCCAAGGCTCCATCAGGCAACGGCGACGGCAGACCAGTTGTTTGCCGACGAATCTCCAACTCCGACCTCCTCTTTCGAATCCAACCTCCGCAGCAGCCACTGTTCGCATAACACAGGTAGGTTTCCAAGTTTTCTTGTTTCATAATTTCAATTGGTGTCTGTGAATTTCAATTGGGTGGGGTCCTGTTCTTATTTGGTAGTAATATGTTGCATTCTTCGTTGCCTACTTGCCTTTGTTCTTGTTTGGCTGAGAGCCGAGAGGAGGAGAAGTTTGGATGCTGCGGCAGGGTGTTTTGTTCCAGAATGACCACCATAAGCAGAATGATCCTCAGACCTCTCTTCAACCAACGCCACCGCCGTGTCTTCTCCTCCCTCCATCGTCTCCTCACCGCCGAATCAATAGCCCAACAACACCAACCTCCGCCGCTGCCGCTGCAACCAACGCCAGTTAACCCAGAGCACCTCCTTCGAGTCTGCACCATCCTCTTTCAACAACAAACCTTTCCAGACTCCAAGCTCCGATCCAAGCTCTCTACCTGCGACTTCCAGCTCACCCACGAGTTCTTCCTCCAAGTGTGCAACAAGTTCCCTTACTCCTGGCGTCCTGTCCACCGCTTCTTTCAGTACATTCAGCAAACACCTTCCCTACATAATAATTTCGCCCACACCTCCGTCTCCTTCAATAAGATGCTCGATGTCTACGGCAAGGCGAGAAACATGGATCTGCTCTGGGAAACGGCTCAGCAGGCAGGCCAATTGGGGTTGGTGAGCGACAGAACGTTCGTGATTGTTCTCAGAACTCTGGCCTCCGCGAGGGAGCTGAAGAAGTGCGTGCAGTTTTTCCACCTGATGAATGATTCAGGGGTTGAATACAGCTTGCGGAGGTTGAACAAGGTCGTGGAGGCTCTGTGTCGAGATGGGCTCATGGAGGAGGCCATGTACGTGACTTTGAAGCTTAAGGACACCATTCCCCCAGATGGGTTCACTTACGGGTGCCTGATTAAAGGATTCTGCGTCATCGGCGACATGATTGAAGCGTCCAAGGTCTGGAATTTAATGGTGGAGGATGGGTTCGATCCGGAGATCCAAGTGTTCGAGAAAATGATCGAGACGTTCTTCAAGAAGAACGAGGACACTGAAGCCGTGAAAGTGTTCCAAACCCTACGAGTTAACAGGATGGAAGAACTAGGACTCTCGACTTACAACCTCGTCATTTCATGGTTCTGCAAGAAGGGCAAGCTCAGCCAAGCACAACAACTGTTCGACGAAATGCGGCAGAGAGGAATTCAACCCGATTGCGCAACGTTGGGATCCCTTCTCTTCGGGCTGTCATCGAGAGGCCGAGTGAACGAGGCCCAGAGAGTCCTGCAACAGATCGAGAAACCGGACATAGCCATCTACCACGGACTGATCAAAGGGCTGCTGAGCTCGAAAAGACCCAGAGAAGCAACAGAAGTCTTCAGGGAAATGATAAACAGAGGTTGTGAGCCCATAATGCATACGTACGTGATGCTGCTGCAAGGCCACTTGGGGAAGAGAGGGCGGAAGGGTCCTGACTCGACTGTGAACTTCGACACCATTTTCGTTGGCGGGTTGGTGAAAGCTGGGAAGTCGCTGGAAGCTACCAAGTATGTTGAGAGGATACTGAATGGCGGGATGGAAGTTCCGAGGTTTGATTACAACAAGTTTCTCCACTACTTCTCCAACGAGGAAGGAGTTGTTCTGTTCTTGGAGACGGCGAAGAAGTTGAGGGAGGTTGGATTGGTTGATTTGGCTGATGTGCTTGGGAGGTATGGGGAGAAAATGGCCACTAGAGATATGCGAAGGAACAGAGAGGGTTAACTTGTTCGAAATCAAAGACTTAACTTTTGTTTAGGTTTTAAAATCGAGGAATTTTGTTGAGAGATCTACCAATTTACCATTTTTCAACGTATTTCTTTAAATATTTAAAGATTTCATTTTTCTTCTTCTTTTGGATGGCCAACTAGCTTTTTTACCCGACTCGTTGGCCGAAGAGATTTATTTTATAATTTATATTAATTAACTTATTTATATGATTAAATTATTTTGGATCTTTTAATTATTTTGTGTTCTTATTCATAACAAAGTTTTTAATGTCTTTATTGAAAATTTTCAATATTTAGCACACTCACTTGTGATGCTTCGGTTTTCTAATCTTAAATTATGGCGCTGTCACGTCCCATTTAGAATTTATGTAAAAATTTGTCAACCAAAACACTAATATTTGGTGTGCGCCAACCCGAACCACACACACATATCTATATAGTTCAAGCTAGCGTGCGGCAGGAGTACGCTATACTCTTGCGTTCACACTACCATACGACTGTTGAGATTTTCTATTTACACCCCGAATTAACCGGAGTTTTTGGGGGGCATGATATTATACCATAACCTGGTGAACTCTAGTTCATAATTCACTAACCTCTAATTTATGCACATAATTCGTCATACCTATCTTCTATCATACCTTAAGTAAAATCAAAAGTATAGTATACCTTGATATTATATATTTATATATGGGGAGTTCTACGGTACCCAGGGTGAAATCGGGGGTACCGCATACCTTGAGTAAGAAAACACTATACAGAACTTGAATTGACTGATCTTTCGGACATGATACTATACTCTAACTCTTAAAAATCAAAATCTAGGTCTTAATTCTCTAAATCTTATACTCCAAGATCAATTTAATTAGAAACAATAATCGACGGTTATGATTCATCCAAATATAGGCAAAAAATCAATGCACCATCTTAAGGTTTATAGTTTATGATTTAGATCATTAGGACCTAGGGTTCACTCATTAAGGGTTAGA